AACCAATCCTTTAGAGATCACCGACACACTTGCCCCAGTGTCAAAGATAGCCTCAACAGCATTACCATTGATAGTCACCACACCACGCAAAGGAGAGCTGACCTTCATTCGATTCAAATTGTATGGATATCTATACACCGACTCTGTTTCACTCAAAGCCAAATCCGCTTCATCAGATACCATCACCAACTCCGAGTCCAAAGAAACATCAGAACCATAACCAGACATACCAGAATCTCCAGAATCATAACCAGCAGAATCACTTGACGAGTCATTATCCACTACATTAATTCTAGCACCAACATTCATTCTTTCTACCGCAGCAGCTAAATGTCTCTTTGCCCTCTTTGGTCGCTGCAGCCTCAAGTCTTTCAGACCATCACTAACATCCCTAGCAGCACTTTGGTCGATAGCTAACCAATCCACATTGAAAGACCAGCGTCTAAACTCCTCAAAGTGTCCCAAACATTCAAGGTATTAGTCTTGACAGGTAACCTACGAGGTTTGACCGCTTTTTCCTGACTTGACCACAGGACCAGCACCACCAACAACCGGAGGAAAAACATTTTCACCCCTAACAGGAGCAGCAATACCATCAACTGCAGGAACAAAAGCACCATTACCAACTGGAACCGGCATAGTCATGACTACATCACCTTGATCCACCGCTTTACCCTTATTACCCCGCTTATTCGGCGTATCAACTGGCACAGCAGACACAGGTCTCTTCACACCGTAAATCTCGTTAACACGTTGTCATTCAGGGTATCAACCAAGTTCACCGACTTGTCATTTTTCTTTAGAGGATTTTCACCATTACTACGAGTACCAATCACCTCCTTTAAGATCGGTACTCCTTCTCTTTTCCCTGGCTTTCACCAGAAAAGTTTGAAGACCCATTACCAATGGGTATAGCATTACTACCACTTGCAACCCCAGACCCAAAATTGTTCTTTTGCAAGAACTCCGGACACTCAGGCTTCTTATGTCCTTCTTTATTGCAGTAAAAGCAGACCAAATTACGACGAACAGAAGCGACACCACCAGTATTACCACGAGTACCATTTTGAGCCACACTGTTAGTTAAGTTTACCAAATTAATGCTCAACCTTTCTAACTTGTCCACCAAAGAGAACATACTGGACATAGAAGCAGCATCCGATACAGAACCACTTGCAACCGAAGGAGCAGACACAGGAAACTTAGGGACTACAGTCTCACGGGCTCAAAACCAATAGTACTTGCGTACTTGACCAAACTACGCTCAATCTGCATAGCCTTTACTTTCGCCTCTTCAAAAGTCACTGGTGCACCTTCTTTTTCCACCTCAAAAGCAATGTTGGGTTTATAGCGTTAAGAAACGTACGCACTTGCAAACTCTGCGATTTGTTGTCTAAAAGCATGAACAACTCTTGCATCTTGAGTGCAACATCATCCACTGAGGGGTATTCAGCACCTTGTCTAAGACCTTGTACTTGACTCCAAAACTTATCCTCTTGATCATATAAATATTGCTTCTTAAAAGCGCTCACGAAGGCATCCCAGGTAACTGTATTTGCACCAACCACGTTGAACCAAGTCTCTGCTTTACCAACAAGCTTGTCACTAGCGACGAACAACATTTCTTCATCACTCAAACCTCCTGAGACCTTCAACCTTTGCATACGATTGACCCAAACCAAAGCAGAATTACCATCACCTTCACCAGAGAACTCTCTAGGCTCATTCATGAACCTCATACCAGCACCACGTTTAGTACTTGAGTTTGCTTCTTTAATAGACATAATATAACTTGAGTAATAATACATGTTAGAACACATATATGATCTGGTAGGCCGGACCACTTGACAACTCCCTCTTTTTCCCTTTGTGTTTACCTTGAACGACGAGACCAACAAATAAAAGAGATAAACCAATAATTAACAACAGAAGACTGTAAAGACTATTGTAATTATAGAGAGATAGACACAAATAGAGAGATTATAACCTTAGGCACAGTTCCTTCAAAAGACAATGAAGATATATGTAAAATAAAATTTATAAAAAAAATTCGATTTTTAAGATTAATTTCTTGATATTTTTTATTCCTTCTAAAGTTCTTTAAGCTTTTATACTTTCTTTAGAATAAATTTCTACAAAGACAATTGCTTGTCATTAATCTAGAACAGATCAAACTTGCCCAAAAAGCAATTACGTTTGAAATGTCAAACAGGAGAACAATTAATACAATTAAATTATAAAATTCAACAGATTCAAACTGAGATGAACTGTCAAATACAATAAACAAAATAAAACAAAATAAAATACACAATTAAATCACAGCAAAATATCATGAAACAAAATACGGAAGAAGTAGGACAAATAAGGAACCAAAAAAAAGTACAACAATTGAGACCCAGACCCAACAATTGACACACCGATCAGTAGTTTTGACTCGAATCTGATTGGGTCTGACAGAAGACAGAACCATTGGCTGAAATCTTTGGAACACCATTGTACCATCAGACCTAGACCAAATCACACCAAACTTTGTATGTACTTTAAGGAACATCAGAGACATGCACCATTCCAATTTGAAGATTTGTTAACATAATAGAATCACCAGAAAAACCGCGAAAGAGAACGAAGAAGCGAACCAAAACAAACATGCACACATGACAGTCAGTTTATAGTGCAATGACGGAGTGGTCTAACGTGCCAGTTAGGCCTGGTCTCTTCGGAGGCGTGAGTTCGAACCTCACTTGCACTATTTTAATTTCTATACATAGGTTTGTGTAACTGATTGTATTAGAAGATTGAGTTTAGATTTTTTTTCTTTCTAATCGATTTTATATCTATTAAATGTAATGTGCAGCAACAAATATGATGAGTCTTAAGGCAATGCATAATTAAATAATTTCAGCATAGAATAGAGACTTTAGCAAGACAATAGGATTTGCTGTTTAGTAGAAACAAATCCACTGGAGAGAGCATAATGAAATCTGCTGAAAAGGTCCTAATTGAGCGAGTAAATATAGACGTGTTTTCCTGTGTTTCTAGGCTTTATATCAGGTTACAACAGCCCTTTGTATTCAAAATAAGAAGCTATAGAAACCAACTTTGCCTTTTCTCGAGGCATTTGTGGAACTATCGAAGCAGACCTAGCATTTCATCGACTGATATTATGGCCATCCAATCTCAACCCTTGCATTAGATCAACAACACAATCAAACTTGAAGTCAATCCTTTTGACTAAACAGGAATAGAAAAGAATGCTTTCCTTTAATGCTCTACCTAAATCATTAAATCTTTAATGTCCAGATAAATTTGGCTCAATAGCACTCCAGAAATGCTGTCAGGACAAAATAACTAGCAACATGTAGGTGCTGTGTGCTTTTTTTTTTCTTCTAAGCAAAATAAATTGAACAGCATGGGATGTGTAAACGAGGAGATATTTGCATCAGGAAGAAAAATAGGGGGAAAATAGGTTGTAGGATTGTCTAGTACTTGAATTTCAAATGAAGAAAAAGAAAAAAACCAGTTTCAAAGTGTCGCTCATTATCTAACTTGAGTATATTCAAGATATAATTATTGTTTTAGGAGACTCCTTTGTTATTAGTACATACAATACCAGTGGCTAATCTTTAAGCCATTGCATGATGGAATAAATCCATACTACCATTCATGCTATTTTGACTCTATTCAGAGTATTACTATAGATAATTAAACAAGGCAAATTGACATACGACCAATTCATTTCTTGGCCTCGACATACTCTCCTGACAAGATTTTTTTTCCTTTTTTTTATACACGTTAGATATCTCCTTTTACTAAAAATAAAACAATATGGTTCCGTTTTCTATAACGATAGAAAAAAAAAGAGTAAAACTGAAACATGTATAAAAGCTTGACCTCTCAACCTTTTTTTTTCTTCTTTATTTCTTGGCCATGAATTTCCGATATTTAGCATTGTTCTTTATGCTTACTCTTGTCTCGACGTCTACAGCAGTTCAAAAGCCGGACAATGTATACGTGAAGCGTGGTGTGGCTCGCGTGGTCAATCTTATAGGCAACATATTTAAAGGCACAGGCACTTTTTTTCATCCTGTGACAGAAGGCGGCGCAATTGGTGCTTGTGGCCCAAAAGCCAGTGATCACAGCCGTATTTGCGCCATGAACATCAAGCAGTATGGAAAAGCATCCAAGAAAAGCCCTTGGTGCTTCATTCAATTACGAGTCAAATATGGAGGCAAAAGCACTACTTGTACGGTGACAGATTGCTGCCCTGGGTGTAAAGAAGGTAACAATCAATTGTGCTTGAACGCCCTTATTCCTTACATATCATAGGTTCTTTGGATATGACGCCACAAGTATTTAAAGACCTGGCTCATCCAGATCTTGGTGTTATTCCAATCGAATGGTGTATATTAGGCTATCGAGGTTGTCATTAAAAGTAAAATAAAATGTACATGATATATATATATATATATACTTTAACAGCCATGTCAATCGACTAAATGTTGACCTATTTTTTTTATATATGTTCCTTGTTAAGAATTAAAGATTCTGTCAGTGTGTTATTTTGATAACTCTTTGGAACCAAAGAGCAAATAGTTATCAATGCGGGTTGATTACATATACATTTGACAAGAACAAGATAAAAGGTGCGACTCGGTTAATCCATATATTTACCGGAACAGAAAACTCCGGTACTATTGTCCGGTAGATTCATTGTGTGCATACTAAATTAGCATGATCGCTTGACAGTAGAGTGGATCCTTCTTTAACTCTCGACAAAAGGTAATCCATCATCATCACCACAGGGAGGCAGAGAAGGGAAGCATTTAGAAACGAGTATGATTACAACCATTCATATGATCGATTAAAAAAGAAAGAATACGGATCAAATGAGGATGGGGAATGGATGGATATTTCGGATGTCACCTTCTCTGCTTTTTTCATTCCTTGTGTCGCGTCAAATAAACAGCCCAATATTGATATAAACAAGCTCATAGATCGCGATGGCCAAGTCAAAGAACCACACCAACCACAACCAAAGTAAGTGAACATAATACATATATGTGCGTCAGGCTGAACTTCTCTTTTAAGACAAGAAGGCTCACCGTAACGGTATCAAGAAGCCCGCTACTCACAAGTACCGATCTCAAAAGAGTGTAAGTCATAAAATTAAGTGTGATGATAAGGTGCTGATATCGCTTCTAGTTGGATGCCAAGTTCCTCCGTAACCAGCGTTTCGCTAAGAAGGGTACTGAAGCCGCTCTCGCTGCTGCTGGCAAGAAATAAATTCGCTTATGATGCTTTTCTTTATTGAGAAAAAAAATTGTAGAATTTTAAAATAAATTGGATCTTGTACATGTTCAATCTATATTCTTTTAATAGTCAATTTGCTAACAAAGGCTCTTTAGTATAGACATATACACAAAAAGAGACTTACATGCGCTCGACAATAGTCTCTTATACTTTCAAATACTTTAAGCATCTTTCGTCTTGCGCCCAGAGCAGCTACACCTTTTTCTTGAAGTTCTTGATCATTTAATTTAACAATATCTTGCCATTTCATTTTCTCAAATATATTGTTGTATTTATGTAAGCGCATACTTCTGAACCAAGCAGGAACATCTATTTTATCTTATGAGAAACAACCGACGTTGTGAATTGTACCTTTTAATAGCTCTATATCCACTACTTCTTCATGCGCTGATTTAGGCTTCCCATGTAGCGAAATATTGGCAGCAGGTGTTGATCGATATCGGGAAGAATCACCAGGATCACTCCCGTATCCTAAAAGCCCATCATTGTTATCTATAGACGTGGAACGCATGGCTTTGGGCGCTGCTAAATACTGTCCATAATTCGTCTGTCTTGTTGGCATGGCTTGTTTTTTGTATCGTCCAAAGTTGGGAAATGAGTGGCGGGTTGTGAGTGTTGAATGACAGGATTGTCTCTCCATTGTGGTTGGAAATCAATGTCATGCTGATTACCTAATGGCTTCCAAGGTGGTTGTGATGAAGAGGAAGAAGGTAGATTCCATGATGAAATATCAGCCGAGCGAGGTCGTTCAATAGCAGGTTGAATTTCTGGTGTAGTAAACATGTTGGGCTGACGTTGATTTAGCCAAGAGTTAGAAAATGATGATGTGCCTCCAAGTTCCATGACAGATTTTGGGCGTAAATGACTAGGTGTTCTCGATACACTTGTGGTAGGTCTCGGGGGTAAAGCATGGGCTTCGTCTGTATTGAGCCAGCTTGATCCCATAGAACCAAAAATACGACTTAGTTCTTGTGTATCACCCAATGCAAACGAATGTCTGTTATTCATCACTCGGCTTTGTTGTTGGTTGATAGAAGATAACCTTCTATTGCTCAAGTTCATGATATTAGATGCTCTTTCGGAACCTTTTTTTTATAGTAAGGGTTAAATGTCATTTTGTTCAAGTAGTACACAAACCTCGAGTTAATGGATTTGGTCTTCTCATGTCTTGTAACATATGAATGAAAATCTGATCTGTACCTGGGATGAATGTTGTAATAAGGTATAAAGTGCTGCAGTTTTCTCTGCATCTGTCAAAAAGCCAAACCATTGGTTGACATGTTGTAATTCGTCTTGAAAAGACTATACTAGTGTAAGCTCGGGACTTTTTTTTTTTTTTGGGAAGGATATATTTTACCTGATCTAGGTTAGCAGTGGCCATTTCTTCAAGATTACCTTCATACTCTTCAGAGTCTTCATACCAAGTACTTAGTCTATTTACTATATAAGGAAATAAGACCATGTAATTTATTATGACATGAACTTACTATCAAGTGGTTTGTTTGGATCCATATTAGAAGGTGTTGTTCTAGGCTGCCTAGAAGAACCAAAATCCGAAGGATGCATCGTAAAGAGAAACAAAGTAGAACCAAAATAAAAAGAAAAGAAAAAAAGGAAAAAAGGAAATTCATGCAAATGTGATTTATTTGTTTAGTGACTTACAATTTTGCATTGGAGTTGATAAAAGCAGACCAATCTGCTTTCTTTTTGATACAAAGGCCTTAATACCATAAGGCTTCTTGATTGCATCATGTTATATAAGCTTCTTGTACACTGTCCGAATACGACCAGTTTTTTAGGTCAGCACCTTTTGGATAGTGTCCACTAATTGTTTGATATTGGTCAGGCATTGGTGCAGAAGATAACAAATGCCTTATACATGACACCTGTTGATCCAATTGGTCATATCTGTCACTATTGTGCTCAATAAGGAAGCTTCTTTCATGCTGACCTTTCCAGTCAACATTACTCACGTGCTTTTTGTGGTCCTAATCAGGCACAATGTACTGGAAATAATAGCAGGAATAATACCACCTTTACTTCAGTCAAGGCAAATAAGCATCCTGATGGCGACACGAATATCCGACTAAACACGAGTCCCATGCCACCACCAAGACAAGGACCATTGATGCGTGCAATAATAGGTTTAGGAAACCATAGAAATATTCAAATACTGAATGCCCTGTCAAACGAGCGCTTGATATTGCCTGAGACGCATTGGCTTGAGATAAATCCATGCCCTACAAAGAATTTGCCGGCTCCTTAAGCACCACCACGATTGCTTGTCTTTTCGATCTGTTGTAAATATCCAACAAAAGTGCATTCATTTCCCCAGTCAGTGCATTCCCTTTGAGGAGATTTAATGTCAGTGTAGCAACATGATTTTCAATGACAGCAAGACTGTTTTCAGTAAAAGACATAAATAAGTATGTGAAAAAATGATAAATTTTATTTTTCTCATGTTACATCATTCTTTCTTTAAGGCATCTTCATAATATTTCCATAATCATACTTTGGCAATAAAAAATCGCCTTGAGCAGACATAGGAATTCATTGATATAATGACGGTCCATTCGAGGAAACAAGTCGCATAATCATCCAATGTGGTTCCCATTCCTCATCATGTAAGGGTTTTGTTTGGCTGCTGACTATAATAATCAAGTCTGGAAGATAGTTCTAGCAGGAGAGACCCTTCTGCTTGAAGGTGGACGAACAGGATGCGCTGGCAAATCAAAGTAATCATAAGAACTTCTTCTTCATGATCATAGTGCCATAAAAACTATCTCTTTCTTCTACTTGATCTGTGTGTTCACGTAATAGCGACTTTCTTTTCGTACACTGGACGATGGTCTTGTTCTAGAGAACGATAACTTTGCCTTCTTCTTGGTGGTAACATGCTCTTGTTCAGCCATTCTATAGCTGCCGCTGTGTTTCTCCCCTGACATTCTCATGTGGTAATATAGTCTTCCACAGCATCGTTGTCTTGTGGCTTTTGTTGATTATAAGGAGCTTCATGATACATGTCTTCTATTTCTTCTGGTCCATAGTCTTCAAAACTGTTCTCTGGGGATGACGTGTCTGCTTGAAGTTTCTTTTTCAAGATGGATACTGGCTGAATTGGATCTGCTTGTAGGGTGAATGGATAGACTCATCTTCTATATCTGGCTGTTGACTCACAGCGAAGTAGCAAATCTGCTTGTAATCATATAAGGAGATTGGCACCAGGAGATACTGAGAGTTGACTATTGCTGTATTGACGGTTTAACAAAGGTGTTGTTCTACTTAATAGCTCATCACCCAACTGAAGCTGCTGCGCTCGAAGGTTGTTTCCATCCACTTGTTTTGATTTACGCTTAAAGAGACCCATGAATTTCTTTGGTTCTCTTGGAGGAGGAACATAACCAAACCAAGCATCGGGTGGGCCCTTTTGTGTTTGCTTAATAATCCAAGGCACAAGGTCTGTTTGTAATTCCATGCATTCGATGTAGGCATTATCTAAAGTCATGTGTTGGATTTGATGTATGGTTGAATGTACTTACTATAAACATTCATTCTTTCTTGTCTTGACTCAATTGTTTGATCTGTTTACGTCGAAGGGTATATAAGTATTACTGACAAGTGGATCCTGGTTTTGTTGATGTATGTTTTTGATGAATACCGAATACTTCACTGTCTTCTTGAGCCCATGTCGTATCGTCTTCCAATAGACCAATGATACGTCGTCATAAGAAGGCGTCGTGTTTTGTTCTGTTTGGGTTTGCATAGATTGATAGCATCAAACAATGAACTATGGCTCGTCTTTTTTTGACATCTGGTGTTTGATCTTGATAGTCTTGATATAATGAATTTCGACTTGATTTTCAGAAAGAGGCATAGAAACTGTTTAACATCTTCAATAAATGAAGAAGCTCGACTGCTCGTCGAGAGGGTTGACTAGGACATCCAGCGATTGCTCAGTAAAAGTGGAGTCATGGAAGGCATACTCTTTCGACGATTAACTGTCTTTGAAGGAACAAGAGACTATTACTGCCAAAGGATTGCTTTAGTTTATCAGCAACTGAGTCAACACATTGTTTCCATCCAATGTAAATGATCTGGATCTTGTTCGTTTTCTGTTTAAACAGTCTGCACATATGTTAGCTACATTCAATTCTGAAGCTACTAATTGTAGACTAGACGATTGAAGTGAGGGTATGGGTTTATTGCATCGATAACATGTAGACATAGCATAGTGTGCTTGATCTGGCGTCCATAGTCTATACAAAGCACAGTCAGTGAGCTGGATTGAGTTAGGTCGCTTACTCTTCTTCAATATCATCATTATCACTTTCAATCAAAATGGGGCGTTCAAAAGCATAATTCTCTTGAGGTGTTTCTTCAGGAATCTTTTGTTCAACATCTTTTGTAAACTGGTCAAAGGGAACATCTATAGCTTGATATGTCAAGCTACTTGACTACAAATTTATGTTCTTTTTTTTTTTTTTTACCTATCAAATGTTCGATATCATTGTATAGACCTTGTAAATCTAATACAAAATAAAGAATTTTAATATTTCATATCTATTCTCTTTTCTTTTTTTTTTCAAAATTACTTGAAATCGATCATTCTACCTGTAGTCGTGGTTGTTTCGTAATCTTCCATAGCTTATGAAAAAGAGAGAAAAAAACAAAACAAAACAAAATATAAAGTCTGTCTTGCATTAAAAAACAACAATAGCAAAAACACACTTCCAAATACGGGCAAATTCTTCTCAAGTTGTCTTGTATCACTTTTCTTTTTTTAAAAAAAAAAGCTTAATAGAAAAAAAAAAAAAGCATGACGTCAATCAAAAAAGAGACAAAGTACTACTCTGGCGATAACAGGAAATGAGAGAACAATGCAATTCAAATACGTTCTCTGTTTCGATTGAGCCAAATAATAACATTCTGTATTAAGAGACCGCGTTTTTAATTTTTTGTAACTCCTCTCTTTTTTACGCTTTTTTCTTTCTCTTTCTGTATTAAACAAGATGAACTTTGACGAAATTGAAGAACAAGTAAGCTGCCAATTTATTCCTACATAAAAACTAACTCTAGCAGGACGGTATTCGTTTCTCTTGGAATGCTTGGCCATCTTCACGTACTGAAGCCACAAAGGCTGTTGTTCCTATTGCTTGTCTCTATACACCTTTAAAGGAACGTGAAGACTTTATTGAAAGCCCCATCTGGTATGAGCCTGTTACCTGTAAAGCTCCCTGCCGAGCCATCTTGAATCCTTACTGGTAAAATAACAAAAACAACACGATGGCCATACTCATTTTGTTTAGTCAAATCGACGTGCGTGGTAAGCTCTGGATTTGTCCCTTCTGTCTTCAAAGAAACGCGCTTCCACCTCATTATAAGGATATCTCAAACACCAATCTTCCTGCTGAACTTTTGCCTAAATACACCACGATTGAATACAACTTGAACCGTGTTGCTCAAATCCCACCTATCTTTTTATTCATCGTCGATACCTGTCTTGAAGAAGAAGATTTAAAGGCACTGAAGGAATCTTTGATTGTCAGCTTAAGTTTGTTGCCTGAATATGCCTGGGTGGGTTTGATCACCTTTGGTACCATGGTAGGTGTAGCTATGCAGGAGAGATGATGTTATTGATGCTGTCTTTTCTATAGACCCAAGTCCATGAATTGGGCTTTTCTGATTGCCCAAGTCATTTGTTTTCCGTGGTACAAAGGAATATGCTGCAAAGCAAATCCAAGAAATGTTGGGTTTAACCAACAATCTTGCTCGCCCTGTACCTGGACAACATCCCAATCGTCCCGGTCAACCACCTCAAATGACCATGGCTGCTAACAGGTAACATCAATTTACTCTGTCTAGATACTGATCTCTTATGCTTCATAGATTCTTGCTTCCAGTCAAGGATTGTGAGTTTGTCTTGACCTCTATCTTGGAAAACTTACAACGTGATCCTTGGCCCGTGGCTGATGATAAGCGTCCTGAAAGATGCACAGGTGTTGCCATGAGTGTTGCTGTTGGTCTCTTGGAGACCACATTCCCCAACACAGGTGCTCGTATGATGCTCTTCTCTGGTGGTGCTGCCTCTGAAGGACCTGGTATGGTTGTCAGTAACGAATTAAGAGAACCTATTCGTTCCCATCATGATATTGAAAAGGAATCTGCAAAGCATTACAAAAAGGCCACCAAAGTAAGTTCTTTTTTTCCTATATGTTTTTATTATTATTATTATATACTCATATCATATCTAGTTTTATGATGCACTCGCTAAAAGAGCAGCTCAAAATGGCCATACCATTGATATTTTTGCTGGCTGTCTTGATCAAATTGGTTTGTTAGAAATGAGATCGATGGTCAACAGTACAGGTGGTTTTATGATCTTGGCTGATTCTTTCAACACAGCCATCTTTAAGCAAAGTTTCCAACGTATCTTTCAAAAGGATAGCCAAGGCCATTTACAAATGGGCTTTAATGCCACTATGGATGTTCAGACCACACGTGAATTAAAGGTCTGTGGTCTTATTGGCCATGCTGTCTCTGCCAACAAGAAGACTGCCTATGTAGGTGAAACTGAGATTGGTATTGGCAATACTTCTGCCTGGAAGATGTGTTCATTAAACCATGAGACAACCAATGCTGTCTTTTGAAGTGGTCAATCAACCCTCTGCTCCTTTCCAGCCTGGTTCTCGTGGTCTGATCCAATTCGTTACTCACTATCAACATTCAAGTGGTCAATTCCGTCTTCGTGTCACTACGGTTGCTCGTAACTTTGCTGAAGGACAAAGCCCTGAGATTGCCAATTCATTTGACCAAGAAACTTCTGCTGTCTTGATGTCGCGTATTGCTGTCTTTAAGGGTGAAATTGACGATGGACCTGATGTGTTGCGCTGGTTGGACCGTATGTTGATTCGTCTCTGTCAACGCTTTGCTGATTACCGTAAAGACGATCCTCATTCCTTCAGACTGTCTGAAAACTTTTCTATTTACCCTCAATTCATGTTCCATTTAAGACGTTCTCAATTCTTGCAAGTCTTTAACAATTCGCCTGATGAAACTGCCTTTTATCGCCACACATTGAACCGTGAAAATGTCGATTCTTCTCTTATCATGATTCAACCTACTCTGACATCATACAGCTTTGATAGTGCACCTCAACCTGTCTTGTTGGATTCTGTTTCTATCAAGGCAGATGCTATCTTATTGTTGGATACTTTCTTCCATATTTTGATCTTCCATGGTTCTACTGTTGCACAATGGCGTGAAGCTGGTTATCAAGACCAAGAAGGCTATGAAAACTTCAAGCAACTTTTGGAAGCACCTGTCTTGGATGCTCAAGACTTATTGATGGAAAGATTCCCTGTTCCTCGTTACATTGTGTGTGATCAAGGTGGATCTCAAGCTCGTTTCTTGCTCTCTAAATTAAATCCCTCTACCACACATACCTCTGGCAGTCCTTATAGTGCTACTGATGGTGCTGTTGTCTTGACTGATGATGTCAGCTTGCAAGTCTTTATGGCCCACTTGAAAAAGTAAGTGATATGTTTATGATTGATGAACTCATGATAAAATAGGTTGGCTGTTGCTGGTGCTTCTTAAATATAACCTTTCTTTTTTTTTTCCTTTTATTTTATATTTATATGC